AAAATGAAGTCTTTTAAAAGTGTTGTTATTATGATGATTTACAAATAATTTATTAACTTTATTGGCCGTTTGATTAATTTCATTGGCATAAAGTTGATTATGTTGAATAATCACAATATTAATATATTTTAATATAATATATGTTTTAATAATATAATGTAAATTATGTATGCTGCTTTATAACACTCAACTACACAACTTAAACCTGCTCAAGAAGATTTTCATTCACGTCACAAAAATTGAGAAAAAACAACTTTGATTAGCATTTATAATTTATTGCTCAACCTACTGCAATTATTTGATAAAATTTGCGTTTGTTTGTAATTAAGTAAATAGAATATTTCGGCATTAAAATTTTCTCTCTTCCTGCCAGTTTAGACAATTTCTAGTAGAATGGAAGAATTATTGATTGAAGAGACGCAGAGTGTTAATTCACTTCTTCTTTAAAAAAAGAGTCCGATAGCAATTTAAGTTTAACTTGATCATTAAGAACTGATTTTTTTCAGACTTCATTATTAAATTGTTTTAATGTAAATGTTTTTATCAACATTTCATACCGTAGGAAAAAAATGAATTCTTTTAAAAGTGTTTTAATTCTGAATATTTATAAATAAGTTATTATCTTTATTGGCCGTTTGATTAATTTTATTGACGTAAAAATGATAAATAAAACGACTTTAGATTTGATGACCTAACCATTTTTGTTGGATTTGAGAAATAGATACTTTAAATAATTCTTCTTCACAATTTGCTAAATTGTCCGGGTTTCTGGGATTGTATTACGATAATCAGGTTGGATATTTTATATTAATAAATGCCACTAACACTGGCTAGATTAAGTAGGACGGACAAAGTTAGACAAATCTTTCATTTGTTTCATGTTAAAACAGAGTTGTAAAGTGATTTATTCTCCGTTTATTTTTCTGTAGGACTGGAAGCGCATCACAATTTACTCCATCATTCCCCATACTCATCTATAACTTCACTTAAATTTTTTCAACTTCAGTCTTTTCTCTATATGAGTGGTCTCCGCGCTTTGAAAAAAAATCGATATTTTGATTTTTTATCTTCTCTTGAAATGTACAATTTCACTCAAATTCAGGTTATTAAGGTGTACTTACTATGTCTTCATTAGAGTTACCCAGTGGTATGTGTTTTGTCTAACTTAAAATGCAATTATAGCATTCACAACTATTTCAAAATTAAGCTTTACATCTGCCATCGCATAACTATACCAATTAAAAAACAAATATCTTCATTACCAATTGAATTTTATTAGCGCATCGCATTTTGTCAAAACGCTTTTTTTCTTTCCTCAATGTGTTTAAGTCATTCACGGACTTTTAGAAGTCAAAACTTGCTCTTACAATTGAATAATGATTATGGGAATAATTACCTAGGACCAACATGAATCGTTTGGAAACAGATATGATAAGATTATTATTAATGGATGATATATTAAACAAAATAAGCTAAATAAATTTGATAATTTTAAATAAATCAAATTGAGTTTTATCCTGTGAAGAAAAATGAAACACATACCTCATTATATCTCGGTGTAAGATTGTTATGTGGACAAAAATTAAATTAATTATACTAAACATAATATGTCATTCATGCTAAAAAAATTAAGTAGTAATGTTACATTGAATTCATATTCAGCAAATAATAATATCGGTAATAAATGATTTAAAACATCTTTCAAGTTGATCTTTAAATGCAACTGGATCTTCAGAAGGCGGTTGGTCTAATTTTTTGGAGGATTTCAGCCTCAAGTTCCACATTGCGATTTACACCCTCATTCCACATTACAAGATTCAAGTTCATTCAAATTTCAGAATAATTGTACCTTAAAAATAAATCAATTTTTCGGTTGATATATCAATGCAACAAAGTTTTCTAAAGCATCATTGCTTTCATTTCATATAACCCAAAGGTGCGTATCTTGACCAATCATACTATCACTTGCATTATTTACCTTGAAAACATTTACTGGATAACATTTTTCCAGAAGTAAATAAGTTATAATTTTTCCGTACCACGTACGGAAACATTGATTAACATACAAGTCTCATAAACTCTTCCCATTTACCGATTAACGGAAGTTGTCAAATTTAGAAAATATAACACGTTCCACGTGATTTACAACTGATGGCGTTTTGTACCCATATTTTCAAGAATTCTTGCTATGGTTTACAAAGTTTCGAACGCCATAATTGACATCTCTCCAAAAATGCTCTTATCATAACTATATCATCAAGAAATTTTTAAACTAAGTTGCTAAATAAATGTAAAAAGATATTTATTTTGAATAAG